CACCAGAAAAAGAAGTGTGAGGATCAAGCTGGGTCCGCTCCCAGACCCAACTTGCGATGACCCCCCCACCAGTCCTACGCTACGTGCGCATGCGCCCGTATGTAGCCTGTTGTGTGTCTGTGCACGCCGCAGAGAGCAGTTCAACACATGTACAGCAACGCTGATCAACACTGCAGAACGCCCTCATCATTATCCTGCTCCTTGCACTGCAGCACTTCTTCGTCGTCGTCCTCTCCTCCACGTCCTCTTCGTCGTCCTCCTCCTGCTCCTGGTCCCAAATCAGCCCAGTGTTCGGGCTGCTGCGAGATCCTCCTCATCCTCCCCCGCATCCTCCTGCTCCTCCTCCTCCTCCTCCTGCTCCTCCTCCTCCATCCTGTGTCCCTATAGACGACTCCCCCGTGTACCACCCCCAGACGTGTCGGAAGGGCGGGCCGACTGCTTCTTCTGTGACTTCTTCACCGGTTATGATCATGCAGCTTATCATTTACAACAGCTGCACGGACTTACAATAACCAAAAGGTACCGATGCCGCTACTCCCCGGACCTCTCCCAGTGTGCGTTCGGACCAGGATTTCGAAACGAATCCAGCGGTGGCGACGAAGGCCTCCCAGAAGGCCCAAAAAGGGGAAAACGGGCGAAGGGTAGAGGTATGGGTACCTTTTCCTCCTCTGAGCCTCAGCGCCGCGCACGTTCGGCTTCAACGTCACCACCAGTTGCAGTGACGGAAGGCGCTACGTCTCCAACTTGGGGCCTGCGACTCGGCGCCGTGCACCTTCGGCTTCAAAGGTCAACGGCTCCGACAAATTCAAAATGGGGGCTCTCATCTCGCCTCAAACGTCCTCAACTTCAGCAACCAGGAGCGTGAAGATCTATGAGCCTCTGAACCTGTGGAGCGCAGCTCCATTTCAAAGTGGGGCTCTCGCTCGAGACCTCCTCAGTTCTACTGGTCAGAAAAAAAACTTGCACAGTCACTATAAGCGGGGGCGACTGAATCGCACCAGCCTTCTTGGCGTAGGTGGTTCATCGAGTTGTTTTTTCTTTCTTTTCACAACCCCTCCTTCCCCTGCTCGGGGGAGGAGCTTCACCCCCCCTCTGCCCCCTCCCTGAACCTGGGAGGGGGAGGCCGCGAGGCATTTGAGCCCCCAAAATGGCCCACGATGGCTCCAAGAGGGTCTCAGAAAGCCCAAAATGGCCTCTAAGATGGCTCAAGATAGCTGAGGATGGCTCAACGTAGCCTCCAACATACGCCCCAAGAGGGCCCCAAGATGGTTTCAAGTGCCCTCCTGGCCCTCCAAGGACACCCCCAAGACGCCAAAATGGCTCCAAAACTTCACGAAAATAAATGAGTTGTGCGTTATCGCCCTTTCGCTTCTGATGGGTTTCCGAAGCCTCAATATGTCGGCGACGACCTCTTCACCCTCCTCTGACGAAGACAGCGTCCACCGACGACGACGACGACGACGACGATGACGACGACGACGACGACGACGACGCCGACTAGACGGCGACGCCGACGACGAAGGCGACGACGGCGACGACGACGACGGCGACACAGCCCACCGACAACGACGACAACCCCCGACGGCGACGACCCGCGATGGCCCCCCCGGGGGAGGCGCCGCAAAGGGGCGAGAAGGACTCGAAGACGGTGCCGATGGACTGAAAGAAATCAAAGTCCTGAACGCGCGGCCGCCACGCCACGTCTGGACGGAGAGGCGCCGGAGGGAAGAGGGCAGTGGGGCAGGAGGCGGGGGCGAGGGCAGGAGGGGGCAGGAGGGCAAGGGGAGAAGAGGAGGGCAGGAGGGGGGAGGGAAAGAGGGGGACGACGAGCTAAGTGCGCTCGCGCCTCATCTGACATCCTGTCCCTTCGTCACATCCATTCCCGTGGCGCTGATTTGTCTCTATCCGCGGACGCGTGTCAGATCCGACCTGCGACTCCCACAGAAAAATCACTTCGTGTTATGCGCCATCGGATACATGGGAGCTGCGTGCACTGGAGGAGGAGGTGAGCAGGACGATGAGCGGAAGGAGAAGGAAGAGGTCGAACAGCAGCAGCAGGAACTGGAGTGGAAGGATCGGGAGAAACAGGAGGACCAGGGGAAGGCGGAGGAGGGAGAATGAGGGGGGGACAACGAGAAAGAAAGACTCGGATTAAAAGTGGCCCGCGCTGGGGCGAGACGGACAGCAGCATCAGGAACTGGAGTGGAAGGAGCGGGATAACAGGAGGACCAGGGAAAGGCGGATGTGGGGAAATGAAGGGGGCGACCACAACGAAGCGACACTCGGATTCAGAAAAGTGGCCTGCGCTGGGGTGGTATGGCCATTCCGAAAGGCGGGAGCGAAGCGCCGATCCGAAAATGAGGCCCTCGCCGCAGCGGAGGCACCATTTCGAAACACCGAAAGCAATCGGAGTGTTAAAGCACATGAGGAGAACAGCTGATCATGTCCTCCATAAGATGACAATACGCCTAGGGGGCGGGCGATCTTCTGAACAACTTCAGAGGGGGAAGGAGAGAAGTGTTCACATGGTTGAATTGTGGAGGGAGCAGGGTGGGGAGGATGCTGGCAGGAGCCCATCCAGGGCCGCCCTCCAGCGCAGGCGCTCGGGTCCCCTCTCTTCCTCCCCTCCTCCTCCTCCTTCTCGTCCTCCTCCTCCTCCTCCTCCTTCTCGTCCTCCTCCCCCTCCTCCTCCTCTTCCACCTCCTCCTCTTCCTCCCTCCTCCTCCTCCTCCTCCTCCTCCTCCTCCTCCTCCTCCTCCTCCTCCTCCAGTTCCTTCTCCTCCTCCTCCTCATCATCCTCCGCCGCCTCCGCCTCCGCCTCCGCCTCCGCCTCCGCGTCCTCCTCCTCCTCCTCCTCCTCCTCCTCCTCCTGCTCCTCCTCCTTCTCCTCCTCCTCCTCCCCCCCCTCCGTAGCCATTTTGGCTCAAGCCATTTTGGCTCAAGAGGGTGGCGCGCGCGCACTTGAGAGGGGCGCAGCGCGCCCGAGCCGCGTCGCTGGCCATGGCGGCGTCAGCCTGATCAAGACCCGCCAGAAGAAGGCGACCAACGCCAGGAATCGTTTCGGCAAGGTCGTCATTGTGGAAGACGTTGTGATGATCAATACCCGCCGGAAGAAGGCGACCAAGGCTGGGAATCGTTTAAGTAAGGTCGCTATCGTGAAGGACTAGACCCGCCAGAAGAAGGCGACCAAGGCTGGGAATCGTTTCGGCCAAGTCGTCATCGTGAAGGGCGTTGCGATGATCAACGCCCTCCAGAAGAAGTCAACCAAGGCCTGAGGTGCGTGAGCCGTGGCGGCGTGGTGGTCTGGGATTGGCCTGGGCTTCCTCGTCGCCTCTGCTGGGCTCGCCTCGGTCCTGTTTCGTCGCCTCTGTTGTTTTTTTCTTTGGTTTCTGGCCTGCACCGTCGCCGTGCTGGATTCCCCTCGAAATAGCTGGGCTTTGGGCTCGGCGCTGGCTCCCCGTAGGAGGGAGCGCTTTGGCTAGGCGCCAGGGCGGGCAAGACCCCCGCCGTCTCATCAGATCCCTCAGATCCCTCCTCCTCCTCCTCCTCCTCCTCCCCCTCCTCCTCAATGTTTGTTCCTGAGCGCTCGCCTCATCCCCCTCCCCCCCTGAAGGGCAACGATAGGGCGGACCAGCTCAAGGGGAGAAACATCGACCTGGCATCGGCGATACACCGCCGATACGTCGGCACGTTCCTGGGCGGGATGGGCTTTCAGGACCCCATCGGCGATCAACGGGCGGTCGGGGGTCGATGCTTTCCGCCCTGAGCCGATCCCCGCTAACGTTGCCCCTGACCACCTCCCTCCTCCTCCCCCTCCTCCTCCGCCTCCTCCTCCTCCCCCTCCTCTGTTTCCTCTCCCTCCTCCATTCTTTTTTCCCTCTGCATAACTCCTCCCTGTCGCACCCCAAGGCCGGTCGAAAGGGCGGGTCAGGAGTTTCGCCTGAAACTTCCTCACCATGTCTGATCCTCGAGCTTGAAGTTTGCAAGAGCTTCACGGAGGGAGGGCGGTCCGTCGTCAAAATGTGGCTATGGCCTTAGCGCCACGCACGTTCGTTTTTTCAAAATTGCAACAGATGCACGGATGGATGGCGGTCCGTTTTCAGACTGAGGCTTTCGCCTTAGCGCCGCGCACACTCGTTTAACAGTTTGCAAGAGCTTCACGGATGGAGGGAGGTTCCTCTCAAAATGTGGTTATCGGCTTAGCGCCGCGCGCATTCGTCTTAAGAGCTTGCAAGAGTTTCAAAGACTCGCGTGGTCGCCGTCCCACGAATGGTGTGTTGGCACGAAGTCCTGGGAACGGCTTTCTAGCACAACTCAGGATCGCCTGGACACAATAGTGACAGTGAGTCGCGGCGTTGCGTTTTCAAGGAAGGATTTCTGGAAAACTTACGAATGTTCAAACGGGTGTCTTCCAACGGGGCATTTCCCTCAGTGAGAACAAATCCGTGTAGAAACATATGGTGAGGAGAGTTTTAGGGAGGGCTTACTGCAGTATCGTTGAGAAGTCTTGGGTTTACACTGGTCCGCCTCCTCCTCCTCTTTTTCTTCCTCCTCCCTCCTCCTCCTTCTCCTCCCTCCCTCGCTCTCTCCCTCCCTCCCTCCCTCCCTCCCTCTCTCCCTCCCTACCTGCCTCCCTCCCACCTCCTCCGGCGGCGTGAAGAAGGCAGGCGCAGACCCCCGCGGTCCCCTCGAGAGGGAAGCGTCTTGCCTGCTCGAAGTAGATAGAGCCACTCGTGGGGAGGGGATGCGAGGGGGATGCCTGCTCCTGCTGCTGATGCTGCTGCTGCTGCTGCCCTGCTGCTGCTGCTGCTGCTGCTGCTGTTGCTGCTGCTTCTCCTGCTGCTGCTGTAGGGAGGGGGAGTTCCTCCTCCTCCTCCTCCTCCTCCTCCTCCTCCTCCTCCTCCTCCTGCTCCTCCTCCCCTCCTCCTCCTCCTCCTCCTCATCATCATCATCATCATCAGCAGCAGCAGCACACAGCATCATCCATCATCAGCAGCATCAGCAGCAGCATCATCATCACATCAGCATCACATCAGCATCAGCATCATCATCATCATCATCATCATCATCATCATCATCATCATCATCATCATCATCATCATCATCATCATCATCATCATCATCATCAGCATACTCATCAGCATCATCATCATCATCATCATCATCATCATCAGCATCATCATGATCATCACCATCATGATCATCATCATCATCATCATCATCATCATCCTCATCATCATCATCATCATCAGCAGCATCATCATCATCAGCATCAGCATCAGCATCCCCATCATCAACATCAGCATCATCAGCAGCATCATCAGCATAATCATCATCATCCTCATCATCATCATCATCATCATCATCATGATCATCATCTACATCAGCAGCAACAGCATCATCAGTTCCATCATCATCATCATGAATCATCATCATCATCATCATCAGCAGCATCATCATCATCAGCATCAGCATCAGCATCATCAGTATCAGCATCAGCAGCAGCATCATCATCAGCAGCATCATCATCATCGTCAGCATCATTATCAGCATCATCATCATCATCGTCGTCATCATCATCATCACCACCACCAACATCATCATCATAATCATCAGCATCAGCATCATCATCATCATCATCATCATCATCATCAGCATCGCCATCATCATCATCATCAGCATCCTAAGCGTCATCATCATCATCAGCATCATCATCATCATCAGCATCATCATCATCGCCATCATCATCATCATCAGCATCCTAAGCGTCAGCATCATCATCATCATCAGCATCAGCATCAGCAACAGACATCAGCATCAGCATCACATCATCATCATCATCATCATCATCATCATCATCATCAGCATCGTCATCATCATCATCATCAACATCATCATCATCATCATCATCATCATCATCATCAGCATCATCATCATCATCATCATCATCATCATCATCATCATCATCATCATCCTCTTCATCCTCTTCATACTCTTCATCCTCTTCATCCTCTTCATCCTCTTCATCCTCTTCATCCTCATCCTCCTCATCCTCCTCCTGCTCATGCTCCTCCTCCTCCTCCTCCTCATCCTCCTCCTCCGCCTCCTCCTCCTCGTCCTCCTCCTCCTCCTCCTCCTCCTCCTCCTCATCATCATCATCATCATCCTCATCCTCCTCCTCCCTCCTCCTCCCTCCTCCTCCTCCTCCCTCCTCCTCCGCCTCCTCATACATCCTCCTCCTCCTCCTGCTCCTCTTTCTCCTCTCCTCCTCCTCCTCCTCCTCCTCCCTCCTTCTCCGCCTCCTCCTCCTCCTCCTCCACCTCCTCCCACTTCGCGTCCTCCTATCTCCTCCTCCTCCACCTCCTCCTCCTCCTCCTCCCCTCTCCTCCTCCTCCTCCTCTCCTCCTCCTATTCATCCGCCTCCTCCTCCTCCTCCTCCTCCTCCTCCTCCTCCTCCTATTCCTCCTCCTCAGCTTTCCAAACCTTCGGGGGGGCACGAGGCCCATCGGCCTGCTCACCACGAGTGCGAGGCTGGTCGAGCGAGCCCACGCGAGTTTCTTGTTCGATTGGGAGCGATCGATTCGGCGTGGTCACGATTTCGCTGCCCCTGAGGGTGGCTCCGAAGATGCGACGTGGCAGCAGATGTTAGTTCATGAGGGAGCCCCTCCTGGCGGCGGCGGCGGCGACGACGGCGGCGAGGATGGCGACGGCAACGGCGACGACGCCGACGCCGAAACCGAAGCCGACGACGACGGCGACGCCTACGCTGACGATGACTTCGACGACGACGGCGGCGACGGAGCGGGGCTGGCCAAACAGCCGGCGGCAGGCGCTGGGCCAGCTGCGGCGGTCGTCGGTGGCGTTGCGGCCCGCCGACCCCATGCCCACGTGGTACTGCACCTGGCCAGGGGGCACAGCGGTGGTTTCCCGTCTGGTCTCCCGCACCTGGCCTCCCGCGCGTATGGTCAAGTCGGGCCGGCCCCCCTACCGGGGGATCGTGGACGAAAAATAAGGAATAGTCAAAAAATACCCCAAAAAAATAAAGAAAACATCGCCCCCCCGACTCGCTTTTTACTATTCTTGAACATTCCCCCTGTAGAGGGACAGGCCCGACTTTCGGCGGTGGACAAACCTCCCTTTAGTAAACCACCCCTTAGCGAAAACGGCCCAGGACCGAGACCGACGGACCTGGGCCCGCAAAAATGACGGCCGCGACGCCCTCTCGCGAACCGCAAACGGCCAATCCCTTGATCGACGTATCAGGGCAGGAGGCCCATCCACCTCCGAGACTTAAGCGTATGGTCTCAAAAACGCGGACGACGAAAACCTCAAGGGCGCAGGAGCAAGGAAGAGCAAGGACGCAAGGGTACCCTGAGCAAAGTCGCGCGTCCTTGTCAGGGTTTTTGACCGTAGAGGGACAGGCCCGACTTACGCGTATGGTCTCCCGTGTGGTCCCCCTCCCAGAGAGTCTCCCGCGTGCTCCCCCGCGTGGCGCCCCGCAGGCTCTCCTGTCGGGGCGCCCCCGTCTGGCTCCTGCCGCGCAGGGCCCTCCTGCGGGGCCCCCGGCTCGCGGTGCCCTGCGGTGCTGTCTCCGGGGCGTCCTGCCGCCGGGGCGCCGTCCCACGAGCCCCGCAGGCCTGTCGCGATCTTGGGCGCCCGAGATGGGTACGGAAAGAATGGGAACAGTCGGGGCGTTGACCTAAGGAACCCTAAATAAGGAACGAGGCCCCTATTTTCCACAAGTTAAACTCCGATTTCCCATCGGAAACATAAGGAAAACCTGAGGCAAACTGTGAAACACTTAAGGAACGCGGAGCCCCTCCCCAACGAAAAGGGTTCCTTCTTCAGGGCCCCGACTGTACGGAAAGAATGGGTACAACGCCCAACAGCAAGTGTTGTCCCAAGCCAACAGCGGCCGCTGCTGGGCAGGCGGCCTTCTCTCTCGCATGGACACAGGCCGAGGCGGCGAGGACAGCGACTCCGGTTCAAAACGAACCAAATCCGCTGTTGGGCATGGTACACATGCTTCCCGTGCCCCGCTTCGGAGGCCGCCCGGCTGCCGAGCGCCCCCCCCAAAAGTCGGCGGTGGACAAACCTCCCTTTAATAAACCTCCCCTTCGCGAAAACGGCCTGGGACCGAGACCGACGGACCTGGACCCGCAAAAAGGACGGCCGCGACGCCCCCTCGCGAGCCGAAAACGGCCAATTCCTCAATCGACGTGTCAGGGTCGGAGGCCTATCCACCCCCAAGAGGCCCCCCCCGCGGAGGCGACGGCGAAGGCGGCCCTCTCGGGGCCCTCGCCGCCGGAGGCCACGGCGTGGCCCGCCGCACGCGCGTGCGTGCCTGCACCTCGTGCGCTGGCTTCCTGACACTACAGTCGAGGCGTTGACCTAATTAAGGAACCCCCAAATAAGGAACGAGGCCCCTCTTTCCCAGAAGTTCAGCCTCGATTTCCCATGGCAGCCTCAGGGAAACCCGAGGCAAACTTTGAAACACTCAAGGAACACCGAGCCCCTCCCCAACGAGAAGGGTTCCTTCTTCAGCGCCCCGACTGTAGAGGCCTCCTTGATGGGGTCGGCGTCGATGGGGTCGGGGGATCGCGCCGCGTCGCCGATATGCATCGGCGATGCGTCGCCGATGCATCGGCGATGCATCGGCGCTGCCCCGGCGATGCATCGGCGCCGTCGGCGTGGAGAAGCTCGGGCTCCACATCGCGCCGCATCGCATCGCCGCCGCTGCATCGGCGATGCGGCGCGATCCTCCGACCCCATCTGCTCCGACCCATCCGGGACGCCCAGTGGTACTGCCCCCTGGAATGCTCCGTGCCCTCCGGGACAAGTGTCGCGGCCCCTCAAGGGTCCCCATCGACACGTGACGAGGCATGCGGGGAGGCTGGCGAGAGCTGCCCCGCGGGCTCCGCCCGTGCACGGGCGAGGCCCCTCGGAGGAGGAGGAGGAGGAGGAGGAGAGGAGGAGGAGGAGGAGAGGAGGAGGAGGAGGAGGAGGAGAGGAGGAGGATGGAGGAAGGAGGAGGAGGAGGAGGAGGAGCAGGAGGGAGGAGGAAGGAGGAGGGAGGGAGGAGGAGGCGGGGGGAGGAGGGGGAGGGGAGGAGGGGAGGAGGAGGAGGGAGGAGGAGGAGGAGGAGGAGGAGGAGGAGGAGGAGGAGGACGAGGAAAAGGAGGAGCAGGAGGAGGAGAGGTAAGGAGGAGGAGGAGGAGGAGAAGAAGGACGAGGAGGAGGAGAGGGAAGGAGGAGGAGGAGGAGGAGGAGCTGGAAGGTTGAGGCGTCAGTGGGACACATCGAGCTCGAGTTGAGCCCGCGGGGCTCTGCCGATGGATCGGCGAGGTAGGCCCCCGACTGCGAGTCCGAGCGTTCCTGGGCGGGGTGGGTGCGTCGCCCCCTGAGCCTAAACAACACAGAGGGAAGCAAACAAAACATATCAAAAGAGAAGCAACAAAAAACAAAGGAAAGCAAAAAGGACAAACACCTAAAAGAAGCATAGCAAAGGCAGCAAGAAACAACGAGAAGCTAACACGGCATAAGAAAGGCAACGCAAGAGAAACAGAGACCCCCCCTAGCGTTGCGCTAAGTCGGGAGTGTCCCCCTCCTGGGGAATTTTGGACGAAAAATAAATTAAAAAACAGTAGAAACATGCCCTAAAATGCTCAAACATGGTTTTGGAAAAATCGTCCCCAGACTATATGTTTGACGACTTTTGAATGCTCCTCCTGTAGAGGGAAAGGCCCGACTTGAGGCGTTGCGCCACGGAGCCACTCCTGGGCGGCGAGGCCCCGGGGGGGAAGTGAGGAGGGGCGGGCCCTCTCAGGAGGCTTTCACCAGCCTCGAACGTATCCCTGTCCCTAAGATTGACACGCCAAAAGGCGATGACAATCTTAGGGATCCGCCCTCAAAAAATAGGGGAATCCCTAAGGTTGGCATCGCGATGAGGAGGTGCCCAGCATAGGGATAGGGATATGTTCCAGGCTGGGAAGGCTTGGGAGTTCTGGGACCTTCTGAGAAGCTGTCCAAGCCTTCCCCGAAGAGACGCGGAAAGCCTCTCGGAAGGCGCCAGGGCTTCTGAGAAGCCCCGCCACATTCTGAGAAGGCCTTCCCCTTCTTACCCTTCTCACTTCCCACCCCCCTCTGGGCGCGCCGCCGAATACCGGTCAACATCAGTACCCAGACCCCCTCCCCAGAACCCTCCCGGGGTCCATCCATCAAGTTTCCGAGTTTCGGAGGCCCCGGGGCCCGAAAACGGCCCCCACAGGCCGAAAACGATGAAACACCGCCTCGGAGCTCGAATCTCGAATCTCGAATCTCGAAGTTCGCCGATGAGAGCCACTCCGCGAGGGTCCTGACGGCCGTTCCGCACGGCCCGAACTGTCGGCGTGCGGTGGCGCGCGTGGCCCTGAAGGGGGTGCGCCGCCCGCTCCCGCCCGCTTCCTTACCTGGCCTGGTGGCGCCCGTTTTGGCCTGCGGACGCTCTGCAATTCCTCCCCCTCCTCCTCCAGATCCTCCTCCTCCTCCTCTGCCTCCTCCTCCTCCTCCTCCTCCTCCTGCTCCTCCTCCACCTCCTCCCCCTCCTCCTCCCCTTCCTCCTCCACCTCCTCCCCCTCCTCCTCCCCCTCCTCCTCCAAATCCTCCTCCAACTCATCCTCCGCCCTCCTCCTCATTCTCCTCCACCTCCTCCTTCTCCTCCTCCTCTCCTCTTCTTCCTCCTCCTCCTCCCCCCCTCCTCCAACTCCTCCTTCTCCGCCTCCTCCTCCTCCTCCTCTTCTCATTCGTTTCATTGATATTATCATTCGTAGCCTTAGTATTATTATTATTATCATTATTATTATTAATATTATTATTAGTATTATTATTATTATTATTATTATTATTATTATTATTATTATTATTATTATTAATATTATTATTATTATTGTTAGTATTATGTTTATTATTATTATTATTCTTAGTAGTAGTAGTAGTAGTAATAGTAGTAGTAGTAGTAGTAGTAGCAGCAGTAGTATTATTATGATTATTATTATCAGTATTAGTAGTATCATTATTATCAGCATTATTAGTACTATTATTATTATCAGTTTTAGTATTAATATTATTACTACTAATTCTACTACTACTACTACTACTACTACTACTACTACTACTACTACTACTACTACTAATGTTAATGTTATTCATAATATAAAATATTAGCATTAGTATTATTATTAGTAGAATCATTATTATTATTGTGACTGTTATTATTATTATTATTATTACTACTACTATTCTTATTGATATTGTTAGTATTATGCTTAGCGTGTTTTAGTATTATTCGTATTATTGATAGTGTTATTATTCTTCTTAGCCGTATTATTATTCTTAGTATTATGATCAGCGCTGGGAGTATTATCATTGTTATTAGTGTTAGTAATAGTATTGTGGATATTCTTATCATTCATAGTGTCAGTCGTATTCTTCTTCTTATATTACAATTATTATAACTATGATAACTATTATTTCTATCAGTAGTGGCATTATTATTCGCCATCGTATCAGTGTTAGTATTATTCGTATTCGTGTTATTATTATTACTCTTGTTTTTGTTCGTATTAGCATTATGATTATTAGCATTCGCCTTCTTATTGTTCCTCATCATCCTCATCATCATCATCAGCATCACCATCATCAACATAATCAGATTCAGCATCATCATCAGCATCATCATCAACATCAGCATCATCATCATCCTCATCCTCATCCGCATCATCCTCATCATCATCCTCATCCTCATCAACATCATCATCATCAGCATCAGCATCATCGTCATTGGTGTAATCATCAGCCTCATCAGCATCACCATCATCATCACCATCACCATCGTCATCATAATCATCATCATCAGCATCATCATCATCAGCATCATCATCATCATCCTCACCATCGTGATCATCATCAGCATCGTCAGCATCATCCTCATCCTCGTCCTCGTCCTCGTCCTCGTCGTCCTCCTCCTCCTCCTCATCCTCCTCCTCCTCCTCGGCCTCCTCCTCCTCCTTCTCCTGCTCCTCCTCCCCCTCCTCCTCCACCTCCTCCTGCCCCTCCTCCCCTCCGAATCCTCCTCATCCTCCTCCTCCTCCTCTTCCTCCTCCTCCTCCCTCCCCGTCCTCCTCCTCCTCCCCTCCTCCTCCACTTCCTCCCCCTCCTCCTCCTCTCCTCCTCCTCCTCCTCCTCCTCCTCCCCCCCTCCGCCTCCTCCGCCTCTCCTCCTCCTTCTCCTCCTCCCTCCACCACCACCTCCTCCCCCTCCTCCTCCTCCTCCTCCTCCTCCTCTCTCTCCGCCTCCTCCTCCTCCTCCTCCTCCTCCTCCTCCTCCTCCTCCTCCTCCTCCTCCTCCCCATCCTCCGCCTCCTCCTCCTGCTGCTCCTCCTCCCCCTCCTCCTCCTCCAAATCCTCCTCCTCCGCATCATCCTCCTCCTCCTCCCCTTCCTTCTCCTCCTCTTCCTCCTCCTCCTCCTCCTCCTGAGGCCCCCTTGGGTCTTTCTCGGGGTCCCTGGCCCTCTCGGAGCCTCCAGGGTGGCCCGACAAGCTGTCCGAATCTCGCCCAGCAGCTGCCAGGGGCTGCAGGACAGCCCCAAGAGGCCAGGATCTCTCAACTGAGGCTGGAGATCGTGGCAAATTAGGGCACTCTGGGAGGCCCTGCAGGGGCCTCCCGAAGCCTCCCTGGGGCTTTCTCTGGGGCCCTCGCCCTCTCGGAGCCTCCAGGGTGGCCCGACAAGCTGCCAGGGGCTCGCGCTCAAAGCAGCAGCGCTTTGACGTTCGCTGCGGGCCGTTCGGCCTTCAGAGGTGGATGCCCGGCCAAGGCCGTACACCAGGGGACCTTCCCCTTAAGGAAGCGTATCGTCTCAGAGTCCTCAGTCCTCCTCCCCCTCCTCATCCTCCTCTTCTTCTTATCATCAGTATTATGAGTATTAATATTACTATCATTATTATTATTAGTATTATTAATAATAAAAATAATAATATTATTATTAGTATTATTATTATCATCAGTATTATTATTCGTATGATTATTCGTGTTCGTATTATTCTTATTAGTAGTAGTATTAGTATGTTTCGTCTCATTATTCTTATTATAAGCATGTTTCTTCTTCGTTGTATTCGTATTATCCTTATTAGTAGTATCGTTCGTACGTTTCTTATTATTAGTAGCCGTATGATTATTAGTAATTCTTTTTATGAATACTATTATTCGTAGTAGTATTCTTATCATTATTATCATTAGTGTTATTATTGTTAATTCGCTTTCATCGTATTACTAATATTATTGTGAGTACTATTATCATTGTTAGTATTATTCTTAGTATCATGAGCCTTGCTATTATTGTTGTTCTTATTAGTCTTAGTACTATTCGTAGTATGCTTAGTAATCATATTATTATTATTATCATTCCGCGTGCTCTTAATATTATGTTTATGATGATTATTATTATTCATATTATTCCGCGTCAACATCATCATCAGCATCATCATCCTCATCAGTATCATCATCATCATCAGCATCATCATCAGCATCAGCATCATCATCATCATCATCATCATCATCATCAACATCATCATCAGCAGCAGCAGCAACAGCAACAGCATCATCATCATCATCATCAGCAGCAGCAGCATCATCATCAGCATCATCATCATCATCATCAGCATCATCAGCAGAATCAGCATCATCAGCATCCTCAGCCTCCGCCTCCGCCTCCGCCTCCGCCTCCTCCACCTCCTCCTCCGCCTCCTCCTCCTCCGCCGCCTCCTCCTCCTCCCTCCATTCACTTTCCTTCTAAGTAACGTCTCCCTCTCGCACCCTCAGACGTGTCGGTGGGGCGACGGGCGCTTCGCCTGAAACTTCCCCACCACTGAGGATCCGAAGCTCGAGATCGACACCAATTTCACGGATGGAGGGCGAGTCGTTTCATTCGTCGTTTGCAACGGTCTTGAAGATGGAGACAGGTCGATTTCAGAATGTGGTTCTCGCCTCAGCGCCGCATATCCTCGTCGTAAAGTCTGCACCGGATTAAAACTTGGAGGGCGGCTTATTTTGAAAATGTGGCTCTCACCTTTGCACCGCGCACATTCGTCTTCAATGTTTTGCAGCAGTTTCCAAGGCTCGTATGGCTGACGTCCCAGGAGTGGTGTTCTAGCACGATTCATGATTGCCAGGACGCAACAGTCACGCTGATTCGCGATGAAGTCGCAGGAAAGGTGACCTGGCACGCAGGACGCAACAGTCACGATGATCCGCGCCGATGGATTCCCAGCAATAGTGTTTTGGCACGATTGAAAACTCTCAAACGGTTGGCTTCTACTAGGCCAAATTCCTGCAATAAGCATACACAACTGCTGGGACCTATGAGGAGGGAGAATGAATTGCAACTTCGTGAGTGCGTCGTTGGTTTCCACTGGTCCTCTTCCTCCTCCTCCTCCTCCTCCGCCTCCTCCATCCTCCTCCCTCGTCCTCCTCCTCCTCCTCCTCCTCCTCCTCAATCCTCAGTCCTCCTCCCTTCTCCTCCTCCTCCTTCCTGACTACTTCTCTCTCCTCGCTCCTCCTCCCTCCTCCCTCCTCCCTGCCTGCCTCTCATCCCTCGTCCCTCCTCCATCCTCCTCACCCCTCCTTACTCTGGGACCCTCCGCGAACGAACTGAGGAGCCCGCGGGAAACCTCCGGAGACGCCCAAGAGGACCGCCCCTCCCCCCCCCCGACGATGGCCGCCCGCCTGGTTCACGGCGACGGGCACCGTGGCGACGTCCAGCACGTCCTGGAACTGCCGCCTGGCGGGTGGCTGGGGAGGAGACGCGGAGAGCAGCGAGGCGGACAGGACGAAGAAGGCAGGGAAGGAGGGAAGGAGGGAGGGAGGGAGGGAGGGAGGAGGGAGGAGCGAGGAGCGAAGAAAGAGGGGTGGGGAGAGGAGCCAGGAGTGAGGAGCGGGGAGCGCTGGGTGAGGAGCGACGAGAGAGGAGGGAGGAGCGCGCCTCATGCGCGTCCTCCTCATACTCCTTGTCTTCTGCATCCGTACCATGATCCTCCCGCTCATCCTGCTCCTTCAAGCGGTCGTCCTCAAGTGTCTCCTGCTCCTCCCTACTGCCAGGAACTCCAAGAAATCAGCATCACGACTGCGATTCCGGACCTCGCCTCCCAGAAACGCAGCGCCGGGCATCATCATCATCATCATCATCATCATCATCATCATCATCAGCAGCAGCAGCAGCAGCAGCAGCACCAGCAGCAGCAGCAGCAGCACCAGCATCAGCAGCAGCATCATCATCATCAGCAGCACCATCACTATCATCAGCAGCACCATCAGCATCAGCATCAGCATCAGCATCATCATCATCATCAGCAGCATCATCATTATCACAACCACCACCAACAACCTCCTCCTCATCCTCCTCCTCCTCCTCCTCATCATCCCTCGTCCTCCTCCCTCCTCGTCCTCCTTGTCCTTCTTGCCTCTCCTCTTCCCACCCCCCCCCAGGAGAGAAACGGGGAGGAAAGGAAAGGCGGGAGACAGGCCGGAAGAGGAAAAGCACACCGACATCTCACAAAAAAACCCTTTGAACCAGCGAGCGTTGGAATCTCGCTGGCGCAAGAGGAACGAAAAAGCCATTTGACCTTAGGAAAAGGGCATCTAGGCCTGGCCGGCCCGAGAGCCCTGCGATTACATCCAACCAGGGCGCAATGGCCCGGCGATTGCGAATCGGAGAAGGAGAAAAGGTGGAAGATCGAGGGAGAAAAAGACTGACCAACACAAATGCATCCGCAACATTTTAGGACCCGGGGGCCAGGCCATCACAATCTCTAGCGTTCAGCAAGCGTGGCGGGTACAACTTTTCCGCCTGTAAAGTTGTACCCGCAAGCGGGCCTCACATCGTAAAGTGCGCCCCGTCTCCGCCGGGACCGCCCTGGGCAGGACGGTCGGGAGCCCCCCTGGGCAGGGCCTTGGGGGCCACATGACACGATTGAGTGAGATGGGTAGTGAGATCGATAGTCAGATCGAAGATTAATCGATCATGGGGTCCATGGTGAGATCGGGTGAGTGAGATGCATAGTGAAATCGATCATGAGATCGATGATGAATCGTGGGATTGAGGTGAACAAAAAACTGAATAGTTACAGGAATCGTGGGATCGACAATGAGTTAGGTACTGAGATCGATAGTAAGTTCGATCGCGAGATCGATAGTGGGATCGTTAGTGGGGACGATCTGTCGACAGCGCCGCGGAAAGCTCTGCTCCCCATCACCAAAGACAGCATCATCATCATCATCATCATCATCATCATCATCATCATCATCATCATCATCATCATGATCGGCAAAATCACCATCGCCATCGCCATCACCACCACCAGCATCACCATCACCACCACCACCACCACCGTCATCAAAATCATCAGATCAGCATCAACAGCATCACCAGCATTAACAACAACATCGAACATCAGCATCACCAACAACATCGCAATCATCACCATTATCAGCAATCAGCATCATTGTCAACATCATCAGCATCAGCATCACCACCATCATTGTATAAGCATCATCAGCATCACCATCACCGTCAACTTCAACATCATCGTCAGCATCAGTATCACCGTCATCCTCATCATAATATTCAGCTGCATCATCAGCATCGTCATCATCCTGAGCATCATCAGCATCGTCATCATCGTTATCGTCATAGCCGCCGCCGAGCAGCAAAAGCAGCATCACCGACCCTCGCTACCATCATCATTTGCAGCATCAGCATTGTCACCATCATGATCGCAACCAACGCCATCGTAATCAGCATCATAAGCACCATCATCACCAACTTCATCATCGTCATCATCTTCGGCGTAAACAAAATCACCCGTCCCAACAACAACAACCACAACAACAATGGCAACAACCACATCACCATCATTATGATCATCAGCATCAGCAACGTCATCATCATCACCATCATCATTATCGGCATCGTCCTCATCCTGATAATCATTACCCTCATCCTCTCATCCCGATCGCAACCTACAAGCATCGCACACCCACACAGTCCCAAGAGATCTGCGACAGGTTGCAATCACGGGGTTGCCGAGACGGGCTACGTTGAAAGCCATTGACCATCGTGTTGGGGAGTATGAATCAGTCACACACACACGCACACGTTTCCTTCCGACGCGCCAGTGAGTCCAACTAGCGGGACACGGTGGGGGGGGCACCCTCGAAACGAATCCGATTCCTTGTGCAGCAGCGCGGCAACCACTGGGTCAGCCAAGACGGGACACATTCAAAGCCAAATTCCCACACTGCGTGGGAACGTGGGAACGTGAACCTACACACTCACACAAACACACACGCACACGCACAGCGCAACAGAAAGAGCAGGCGGGCGAAACGAAGTGCAAAAAAAGCTCGTGGGCCGCGCCTGCAGTAGTGGGAAACCCCCACCGAGCGGGCCTTCCCCTGCTTCGCCCACTCCTGAGCGGACGGGAAAAGGAAATTGCGAAAGCGGTGGGAGCCAGAGGAGAAAGGCGAGGGAGGAACGAGAGACGCGAGGAAGAAAGCAAGCAGGTGCATCCTGGGGTGGTCGACGAGTTTGGCGGCAGGGTGGCCTAGCTAATTATCCTTCGGCGGCACGCGTAGGTGGCTGCAGCTGCATTGCACAAAAGGAGTAAGTGGAGAAGAACGGTGAGGAGCGGAAGGCGGAGGGGATGACGTCTTATGTTCATACGTGCTTCGGTCATGTGTCCCTCCTCCCATCGGCTGCCTGCTTAGTTACTCTGAGGCCTCTGGACATCCAATATTCTTACAATTCTTTTGGCCCTTCTCGCGCCCGCACCGGCAGCAGCCCCCAATGTGTGTGACACATTGCTGAGTCGGATGTTAGCGCATAGACGCTACAGGACGGTATCTTCAGTTCGCCCAGCGCAAAAAATGACAGGTGATACGTCGACCCCTGCCCCAGGTTTCGTGGGGGTTCGAACGGACTTGAAATGTGGGGTCCTACCCTGGGATATACGACGGGGGAGCGTCCATCCTCGATAGGGGTGCGTCCGCATAGCCCCCTGGAGGCGTATTCCATGGGTTCCCTCCTGTTCTGAGCGGTGTCATTGTGTGTCGAAAAGTCGGGGGCTGGGGAGAGAAACCGCCTGCGAAAAAACGGTGGAGGGGAAGGGCGAGGGAGTGTCGGGGGGAGAAGAAGGAGGCGTGAACGAGGCGAGGGGGCGAGGTGAGCACACCGAGGGGAGACGGAACTGATGTCGGGGTATTGCTAGAAGTGCCTCTGGCCCAGGGCGCCCCCAGGATTGCCAAGGAGCCCCCCACGACCTCCAGGGCACCCCTCACGGGGCCCAGAGGGACCCAGAGGTGCCAAGATGGAGCGACAAGGTGGGGGGCACCTTGGGCCAGGGTTGGGTAGGGCATGTCCTCCTACAGGCGGACCTTCAACGGAGAATAGTCAAAAGAATTTCACGCACGCAAGAAAAGGGGAAAAAACATCGTCCCTAGCTTATGTTTTCCTATGTTTGGATGTTCCTCCTGTAGAGGGGCACGCCCGACTCAAGGCTAGGGGCACCTTTAGCGACCCCCGAAGAGGAGGATGGCAAAAATGCGCTTCCCGCTGGGCGACTGGAACGGCGGGGCGGAACGGGAGGAGGCGAGGGGCGAGGACGAGCTGGAGGCGAGGGACGAGGAGGAGGACCGAGGGGGCCCAGGGACACACAAACAAATACGCCCAACCCCCCCGGGATTCCCAAGATGCTCCCATGTGTTCTGGATGCTCGTCTTCCCCCCCCTACTTGCCACATGTTCTCACATTTTCCTGGGAATCAAAAATTCAATGTGGCTGTGTTTTTTTCCTCCTGAGATAGGACGAGCATTAAGTCGGGCCTGTCACCCTACAGGGGAACCTTGGACAAAAAATAAAAAATAATCAACAAATGCCCTGACATGCTCACACGGGGTCCAGAAGACCTCCCCGGACTGCTTTTTGACGCTCTTTGAGCATTCCTCCTGTAGAGGGACAGGCCCGACTTACTGTATTCACGCCGAAGCTGTTGTTGTACAAGCGCTTTCAGGTTTGGCGCGGGCAAGCGCGCAGCAGGAGGTGCTTACCAGTATCTGCCCCGACCTCCCGCCTACACAGAGGCAGCGCCCCGCTGGAAACGCATGTGCTCAAAATGCCGATCTCTCCTCCTGCCTCGACCCCCCTCGCCCCAATCCTGCGGCCCGACTTAAAACGATCAGACTGACGATCTCTGAGCATTCCTCCTGTAGAGGAACAGGCCCGACTTAATGCGCTGCGTTCCCAAGCGACGCTGGGAACCTGCAGGCACCGGCTCCGCACGCGTGGCCTCGGCCCAACCCCCGCCGCACAGGCGGAGCTCCCAAGGCCTCGACGATGCCTGGAAAAAAGCGAGAACTAGGGCAGCGACATCCCTGAGTTGATTGGTGAGCCCAGCGTCGCTTGGGCTGCCCCCAGGCACCCCAGAAAAGGGAGCGGCGCGGGGGGGCCACAGGGCATCCGCGGAGCGCGGGCGCTGGCGGCAGCCGCGGGCTTCGGGGACCGAGGCCTCGGGGGCCCGAGGGTCCGAGGCCCAGAGCTCCGAGGCGTTGGGGGGTCGAGGCGTCGGGGAGCGAGGCTCAGAGGAGGAGGAGGAGGGGGAGGAGGAGGAGGAGGAGGAGGAGGAGGAGGAGGAGGAGGAGAGGAGGAGGAGGAGGAGAGGGGGAGGAGGAGGAGGAGGAGGAGGAGGAGGAGGAGGAGGAGGAGGAGGAGGAGGAGGGGAGGCGGGGGAGGAGGAGGAGGAGGAGGAGGATGAGGAGGAGGAGGAGGAGGAGGATAAGAAGGAGGAGGAGGAGGAGGAGGAAGAGGAGGAGGAGGAGAAGGAGGAGGAGAGAGGAGGAGGAGGAGGGAGGAAGGAGGAGGAGGAGAGGAGGAGGGGAGGAGGGGGAGGATGGAGAGGGAGGCAGGAGGAGGGCTGTTGAAGGCGTGGGGGGCCATGGGCGCCGGCGCCCGAGCGGAGCGCGCGGGCGCTGGCGGCAGGGGAGGGCCTCGGGGGCCCGAGGGTCCGAGGCCCAGAGCTCCGAGGCGTTGGGGGGTCGAGGCGTCGGGGAGCGAGGCTCAGAGGAGGAGGAGGAGGGGGAGGAGGAGGAGGAGGAGGAGGGGGAGGAGGAGGAGGAGGAGGACCTCTTTGGACCTCTTTGCTCTCGGACCTCTGTCCCTCAGTCTTCGTCCTACTTACGGGCATCTGCCGTCAATCGGAAGACTCTGAATCCTCCCGCGGCGCCCGCACATGCACAGCCGTGCCTCTCGCAGCCGCCAACAATCTCTGAACCTTTGCCTGCATGCGCGACTCGTTGGCTGCACAGCGCAGCTGCTCCCGCTCGTGCCCGTCGTTGCGGGCGCGGGTCACCGCGGGAGGCTCGGCGGGGCCCCCCCCAAGCTCGCTGTTCTCCTGCGACCCCCTGGCCTCATGGGCCGACACGACACGACTCTCATCTCTGCGAGCTATGGCCATCTTGATGGCTCTGGGGGGCCCCTCACGCCGAGGGAAAAGACCTAATTCAATTCGACGGATATTCTCGGCACCGTTCGGTGTGAGACCTCTACACTTCTGACGCAAGGACCTCGAGTCCACAGTCGCATACATACCGCAGACCGAACAGATCTGCAAGAACCAACGATCGACCCTGGTGATCGAGTGGGATTCGTGGATCTCGAGGTCCACTCCTTTTATCGGCTGGAACTCTGGGACCTCCGACCTGCTTTTACCAGGGGGCCCAGCACACGGGGAGACCGAAAAACGCAAAAACCTGGCTCCAGTCACAATCACATCGCACTGTGAGCACCTCCATTTGCTTCCTACTCGCTCTAGCTGGTGGGGAGAATCACGAATCAATCTCTCCTGCTTTAAAAGTCTCTTACTGGCTGGGGCTCTACCTGCACGCTCTGACGTCTCCGACGCAGCGGCAAGTAGCAAAGCTCTGCGCGCTCTCTTCCGCACGAGATGTGCGATCGAGTCTATCTTGTCAGTCTCTGGAACCCTCCCCACCAGCCCGAACTCCCAAGCCAGCTCCGCCCCGACTCCCGCCCAGACATCAGCAGCTAAATTCCCTGCTGCCATGAACAGCTGCTGCGGCGATTCAAGCAGCTCTGGCGTCTCATCCAGATGGGACGCCGTCCACACTACCTTCACTACTCTGTCTGGGTAAGTCTGCCAGGCCACTCTGGCTCGGGCCCAAAGGTCCTCGTTGGGACCCGTGGCTTTCGGGTGCTCCAGGCGGTATTTCCAGGTCTTCGCGATCGTCCTGTGGTCGGTAATGAAAATAAAATCTGCGTGGCACTCTTCGAGCGCCAATGCGAACGCTAAAATCTCAGAGCGGGGGACCGTTTGCCTGCGACCGAGGAGTGGGACTGCTACAGCTCGACCCACAATCCACTCCCCGTCGCGCTCCTGCAATGCTACAATCGCTGATCCACAGCGGCGTCGGCGAGGGTCCGAGGAGTGCTTGCCTCCTGAGCCGTCGCCGAAAATGTGGATCTCTCCTTCGTGCCGACACTCCTCCCAGTCCCCCAGCTCACCAAACCGAACCTCCCTCCCCTCTAAAAGTTCATCATTAAACCTAGGGTGCGTGAGAGAGGCTGGCGGCAGTCCTCGAAGCCACAGCGCAGGCTCTGCTTCTGCTTGCGCCATCGCAGCCGGCAGCAGGTCCGCCGACTTGGTGAAGTCCTCGTGGTCCACGTTCTTAGGGCATAGCCAGATCCGATGCATCAGGGTCTCGTCCTCCTCCTTGCACCTGTCGCACTTCTTGCAGTCCAGGAGGTATCCTTGGTCGACGGATCGCTGCTTCGGCCACTGTCCTCCCGCGACCACGGCGATGTTGGCCCCCACCATGTCCAGCTGCCCCTGCTTCTCGAACCTTCGCTGCTCTGCGCGGATCTGCCAGACATCTGCTCCATCCTCCAAACCTTCACCATGTGGGTGTGCTGCTGCAGCCTTCCAGTATTGAGCTACGATGTCGTCCTCGAAGTCGTCTATCAGCTGCTGGAAGCACCCCGTGTTGTCGAAAGTGCCGTCCGTGACGGACGGGATGTCCCACTGTTCTGCTGGATCCTCATCTGCTCCGACTGGTCGCATCCACACCGTCGCCGTTGGTGCGTACCAGCCCACGTCCATGATGGTCGCCTGCACCGCTCCGACTGGTCCGCGAACTCCTCTCCAGCGTTTGGCCCAAGCTTTGACAGACGGTCGAATATCCGCGGCCATGCCTTGACGATCCTGGCGTGGTTCTCGGGGTAGCGCTGCCACAGGTTGATCCACTCCTTGACAACGGCAACTCGTATTGCCACCCCTGGGTCGCCCTTCCACAACTCGACCGCCAGTGTCGTCGTCAAGCATCGCCCACGCGCCTTACCTCCTGCCACCTGTCCAGCTTGTCGTCGTAGCCGTTGAAGCTCATGAACTGCGAACCCGAAAGCTTGGTGACCGTACACTGCCTGTGGTACTGCTCCAGCCATCCATAAACCTTTACTCTCTTTGGCCAAGGCCGCGGTACGTCGCAGCCTCACGATCTTGGCGAACCTGTGCTTCGCTCTCTTGGCACGCTGCTTCGCTTTCGTCGTAACCCTTTTCCTCCCAGCCGACGAATCCAGGCCTAGGTCCACTGCCTCCGTGACTGCGTAGACGGGGATCTGCCTCTTCCTCATGGACTTAGCCGTCCGCTTCACGTCCTTCGGGTGGGTGCCTATCAGGACCGACTTGCTGGAGATCTTCATCCTCTGCTCCTTGAGGCCGTCCGTGATGATCTCCGTGACCTGGATGATGCCATCGCCGACTGTTTGCCTGCTACCTTCTTGCCTCGCCACCGTGTCATCCACGAATGTCCACAGCGAAGCTTGTGGCGCCCTCCGATGCGCCCTATCTAATATCGGGTGCAAGAACAGCTTCGCCAATCCCACGCCTCTGGCAGAGCCTGCTACCAAAGACCTCGTGGACCAGATCGCCTCGCTGAGAATGTTGCGCTCCTGCAGGTACCTCGGGCCCACGAACGCGGTGATCTCTAACGCCACCACCACTGCAGGGAAGCCCACTCTGAGGGCGATCTGGGACAGGATGACGAGCGAGACTGCGTCGTAGAACTTCTCGATGTCCAACAGTAGCGTCATCGCCGATGCCCCGAGCTCTGCCCCCACTTCGTCCAGGCACGCCCTGAGGAGCCCCGCGCGGAGGGCTGAGCTGCCTTTGAGGGCTGTGTCCCAATGGGCCGATACCGCATCACTCCATTCTGAGCAGCAACCTCCCCGAGCCCTTGACCAGAGCTTGATGGGAAGGGCCAGCATACCTAGTCTCGATCTCCTCCTTTGGGCTTGGCCGCCAGAGCGCACTTGGTGGCTGCCCATTGCCTCGGCCATGTGACCTCCTGCTCGCAATACTGTAAGATGTGAAGTAACCATATTCTTGCATGTCTGGGGGCCCGAGCCAGATCGTGCGGACCAAGATGATCAACTCCTTTTGCTTTGGCCGACGACGACACGGCGATGGCCCCGTCGAGCTGCTCCAGCGTGAGGGGCTCCAGCACGTGCTCCCAGGATTGATCGCGCAGCCTGCCCAGCTGGTACGCGATGTCCTCCTTCGTGTCCACTGGGTCCGTCCATATGCGCTCCCACTCGTGCTTCCTGATGCCAATGAGGGCGTCTGGGTCCGCAATGCCCTCCATCTCCTCCGTGCACAGCTCGAACCTCGGCGCCTGCTGCTCCTTCACATGCCGATGGAGGAGGCCGACTTTGCCTGCCCATGCCTTCTTTGCCCACGCCGTGAAGTTCTTCTGCTGCGCCGTAAAGCCACGCGCCTGCGCAGTGGCGAGGTGGCCCTCTGCCTGCATGACTAAGTTGCCGAGCTGCCCCTCATCCAAGTCCGCCAAGTCGCCCAGCATATCGTAGAACATCTGCTGCTGTGCGGTGCCGAGCTTCCTGCCGAAGACCTGGTTCTGATCCATCTGCTGCAAAACCTTGCCCTGCGCCTTTGCCTCCGCCAAGCACTTTGCCTGCTGCCTGCCGTCGGTGCCGTTGGTGTACAGCGCCTGGTACCTGATGAGGATGGCGTTGAGGATGCCCCACTGCTCCGCTGGCCCGAACTTCATGTGGGTGCGACCTGGTGTCGAACGCGCCTTGACCCACTTGACCTCGAAGCCCGAAGCCCGTCCTCGGTAGTACTCGGCCTCCTCCTCGTCGATCTCATCCGTCACGATCGCCGCCTCCTCCAGACAGGTGACCCAGTCGCCGTACATCCTCGTCGCTGCTGCCTCTGCCTCGCGGTGCCTGGCGTCTCGGATGATGAGCTTGTCGTCCCAAGACTGGAGCTCCTGCGACAGGTGCCAGCTTGAGGCCCTCTGAGATGCGGCGGGCCAAGCAGCAGGGAACGCCAGCACCCCATTATCCTCCATGCTTGGAGGGCCGACAACCTCAGGCGGCTCAACGCTCACGAAGAGCGGCCACGCGCTGGAGGCTGGAGGTGGGGTGCGGCCCTGGCTGCCCCCGAAGAGAAATATCTGGGACGCCGAAGGTGTTGCGCTCGAACCTGATAAGCTCGCCGTCGCCACCGCCTCCGTCCACGTCTCATCTGTGATGTAGAAGTCCTTAACCTTCTTCTCAGACTCCGCTTCTTCGATCGTGGCCTGCTCATGAAATGCCTCCCGAAGGTGTGGCTCAAGTCGCTCCTCAGCTCGCTGCCGTTCTTCCTGTCGTTTGCGGGTCCTTTTGCTGTGCGGATCCGCCTTCTTCTTCGGTCGCGGCGGTGTCGCCAGCTCCTTCGGTAACTGCATCTTGCGATGCCACCACGCCGTCGCCGAACCTTCCAGCTTGAGCGTCAGTCCGCAATGTGTTCGCCAAGGCACCGTGCGGACTGCCTCCAGCTTGACCTTGTGCGCGAAGTCCTTCCTTGCGATGCCGTAGTCGATCAGGCTGCCCTTCCCCTTGTCGCAG